TAAATATTAACTCGCTTCATTGTTTAATTCACTGTATAATTTGTTTTGCTATAGCATCCATTGCTAGGATAAAATTCAATGCTTAAACCACAATTTATTTTTTTCTCGGTCTAGCGTCCAATGCTAGGATACAACTCAGTAACAACTCTCTTCAATGTTTATGTCAGAATGTGTATTTTGTTTTGCTCTAGCATCCTGGCTAGCAAGAAAGAGTCGTTTCCTGGCTTTATTAGATACAGCTTCTTCTCTACTGCTGTGTAAAGTAGATTATTTGTATATAAGTATGAAGGGATAGCGGCTACATCCAGGAGTCCAGAGAGTCAGTGATGTTGGGAGGTCAGTCAGTAGGGAGGGGACTTCATGATGGCCACACGGACAACTTATGAGAACTTATGAGGTCCCCATGAACTCTTAATGAGGACCTCATGGGGACCTCATTGAGACTTCATTATCTCATCGGACCTCGTGAGGGCCACATGGAGACCTCATGGAAAGGTTACCCTTGAAGTCACTAAGTGTAGAACCACACACTGCGTCTTTCTGCAGAAAGTACACAATGTGTGAGTTCCAGTCACCACCAGAAATGCTTATGAAAAACAAAATCTACCCGGGCTCCTTTTCCAGTTATAAAAACAGGGAGATTCTGACTTTGTCTGTGAGAGACGAGAGACGGATGTCAAGACTTAAGATGTACCTCCCCACCAGTCTTCGTTCCCTTGACTTCAGAGATGAGTCCAGTATCTAGGACTCGAGGGAGACAAGGCGCTCTTGTACTCACGTTCCATGAGTCCGTTAAGACACACGTAAATAAAAAGTATGAACAGTTGTGAAATTATCGTGAAAAATGTCCTGTTGCATTTTAGGTTAGTAGGGCTGAAGGACTATCACAGCCTCTGGCCTTCAACTATTCCTGGGTTGAAGGACTATCACAGCCTCTAGACCTTCAACTATTCCTGGGTTGAAGGACTATCACAGCCTCTAGACCTTCAACTATTCCTGGGTTGAAGGACTATCACAGCCTCTAGACCTTCAACTATTCCTGGGTTGAAGGACTATCACAGCCTCTAGACCTTCAACTATTCCTGGGTTGAAGGACTATCACAGCCTCTAGACCTTCAACTATTCCTGGGTTGAAATATTGCAGTGGATTTATAAAAATAGGAATAATTTATTTCTATGAGATATATAGTTTGAGATAACTAAGACCCGCGTCAGGAAACACTTGTCCTGTGTCCCGACGAACAATACAAGAACAGCAACATGAAGAGGACAGGATACAGTGTACACTGAGCGGTATATTTCTCTCAGTGTGCATATCATGTCAGTTTACCTCAATCCCGAACTTAGGCATTGAAATAATCTTCTTGTGGTGAGAACAAAAGGTTACCTGCAGCCTCGTGTAGTAGATAGGCTTTAAACTACATTAAGAAAGCATCCTATGTATATTTCGTAAAGTAATCATGACGTAAAAGTATTCGTAATGACTATAACAAAGGTGCAAAGGTAATAAATTAGATTACTGGCCACAGCAGGTGTGGAATTAATAAAAGGCAACAGCCTCGTAGCAGTCAAAAACCTACATATAATTACAAAATAACACTATCTTATATTTCTCATGATTACATATTACGTAGATTTCATCGATGAAGAATCAGTATTAATTAGAAAGATGAATATTATTATCGTTATCGTCGACGCAGCTTAAGTCACAAAATGCGTCATTTAACGCATTCTTCACTTATAAATAACAAAAAGGCACAATACCGTGACTGGAACAATACACAAATAACCCGCACATAAAAGAGAGAAGCTTACGACGACGTTTCGGTCCGACTTGGACCATTGACAAAGTCACACTAACAGAGGTGGAGCAAGACGGCTATATATAGGCAGGAAGAGGTGGTAGTAGTAGTAGTAGTAGTAGTAGTAGTAGTAGTAGTAGTAGTAGTAGTAGTAGTAGTAGTAGTAGTAGTAGTAGTAGTAGTAGTAGTAGTAGTACAAGAATTGTACTACTACTACTTAATTTCATCCTGTCGGTATTATATACAATTCTTGTACTACTACTACTACTACTACTACTACTACTACTACTACTACTACTACTACTACTACTACTACTACTACTACTACTACTACTACTACTACTACCACCTCTTCCTGCCTATATATAGCCGTCTTGCTCCACCTCTGTTAGTGTGACTTTGTCAATGGTCCAAATCGGACCGGAACGTCGTCGTAAGCTTCTCTCTTTTATGTGCGGGTTATTTGTGTATTCTTCACTTAACGAATCGTTCCAGCAGTCCCTCTCCAGGTGGTTAAGCGAGGGAGGTCCACTATAATATATGTATATACATATATATTTCATTAATTATATAGTAATAAGTTTATTTTGCCTGGAATAGTAATTTTTTTAAGAAACAGCCCATGCAGTGTAATGTGTGTACTAGTGTCCTCGTTGTGAGGCTGAGTTATAATACGCTGGCTGTGTACTGTACTTACAGCAGATAAGCAAGCACAAGGGAGTATACACTGAGAAGTGTGTATATACACTGATAGTGGTGTGTATACATTGATAGATGTGTGTATACACTGATAGGTGTGTGTATTCACTGAGAGGTGTGTATATACACTGATAGGGGTGTATATACACTGAGAGGTGTGTATCAGTGTACATTTTATTTCGGGAGTAAAGGAGAACTGGTGGTGAAGAGGTTACATGCAGTCTTAATAGACCCTCGCTTAGTAAACAGACTGTCTGGCATCACAGACAGACTGTCCTCACAGACTGTCATCACAGACAGAGTCTAGTGAAGACCATGATGGTTTTGTCGGAACTCTTTGCTTCCTCTCACCCTTCTCGAAATTGCAGTTTGATGCATAGCTGTGGCTGTATGACTGTAGACTGGCCACAACACCATTCTGTGTAACTTTGCAACCGGAAGCTGACCACATACATCATGCTGACGTTGACACTCTAGTGCTGACTGGTGTAATGACTGGTGGCAACCCAGATCTGAGACAGCCATTCCCACTCCAAATAAGAATGTGTTGGCTTCCTCAAATATGTACCTGTCAGTCCCCCAGTCAATACTAGAGAGGACGACTGGACGCTCTTTCCCAGTCAGTCTAATTCTAACTGGACGACTGGAGGCTGACAGCACTATCACAACTGTGGTGTGTACCTCCCTGCTGCCCCACCAACCTGCCTTCCTCATGTATATATATATATATATATATATATATATATATATATATATAATATATATATATATATATATATATATATATATATATTATATATATATATAATTATATATATATATATATATATATATATATATATATATATATATATATAATATATATAATTATATATATATATATATATATATATATTATATATATATAATTTATGTTTAAGGAACAATTTATTCTTTTTAGATAGAGCTTAAATTTGGTATATGTAATAATTTACCCGGTTGGGTCACATAACAGCAGCTCAAGGGACTTAATATGAAATATTAGGAAGTAGCAACTCATTCTGTATACACTGTGATGAGTGTACCACTCCTGACGTGTATACACTGTGATGAGTGTACCACTCCTGACGTGTATACACTGTGATGAGTGTACCACTCCTGACGTGTATACAGTGATGAGTGTACATCGACGTGTAACAGTGATGAGTGTACCACTCCTGACGTGTATACATGATGAGTGTACACTTGACGTGTATAACCGTGATGAGTGTACCACTCCTGAGTGTATACGTGATGAGTTACCACTCTGACTGATACACCGTGATGAGTGTACCACTCCTGACATGTATACACTGTGATGAGTGTACCACTCCTGACATGTATACACTGTGATGAGTGTACCACTCCTGACGTGTGTACGCTAAAAGTAACGGTACGTGTACACCTGCTGGAGTGTATGTCTTGGTATGTATAATTTTAACTGCTGTACAAAGTATTGTAGTATCTTTGAGAGGTATACAGGTGACCTGCAGCCTTAATAAGTCCCTCCTGCAGCAGACAGTCTTTAAAGAGCTGAAGAAACAGTGTCTGACAGCTGGCTCCGTGATGGCTCCTCCTGCTGGCTTAACACAGTCGAGTCCAGCCTCTATCAATAACCGTCAACCCTTAGACAAATATTAAAAAAATTTACTTAATTCATCATTATAGGCGAGCTGCTGTGTGACCCATAAGGGTTTAGAGCATGTTTTTTTATTATTAAAAAATAGTGAAGCGAACAAGGATGGCAGCAGGGAAGTGTTCCTCAGGAGGTGAGCTTTATTACCCGGCCTCAGCTGTGACCTCCAGTACACTCTCTGGCCTCAGCTGTGACCTCCAGTACACTCTCTGGCCTCAGCTGTGACCTCAAGTACACTCTCCGGCCTCAGCTGTGACCTCCAATACACTCTTGCCTCAGCTGTGACCTCCAGTACACACCCTGGCCTCAGCTGTGATTTCCAGTACGCACCCTGGCCTCAGTTGTGACCTCTAGTGCACACCCTGGCCTCAGCTGTGACCTCCAGTACACACTCTGGCCTCAGCTGTGACCTCCAGTACACACCCTGGCTTCAGACGTGTCCTCAAACGCACACTTTGGCTTCAGACGTGTCCTCCAACGCGCACTCTGGCTTCAGACGTGTCCTCCAACGCACACTCTGGCCTCAGATGTGTCCTCCAACGCACACTCTGGCTTCAGACGTGTCCTCCAACGCACGCTCTGGCTTCAGACGTGTCCTCCAACTCACACTCATGCCACAGACGTGTCCTCCAGCGCACACTCTGGCCACAGACGTGTCCTCCAACGCACACTCTGGCTTCAGACGTGTCCTCCAACTCACACTGGCCTCAGATGTGTCCTCCAGCGCACACTCTGGCCTTAGACGTGTCCTCCAGTGCACACTCTGGCCTCAGACGTGTCCTCCAGCGCACACTCTGGCCACAGACGTGTCCTCCAGCGCACTCTTTCTCTCTATGTATTTGCAGACCAGGTCTTCCCATCCTCCCAGACCCTACCAGCTTCACAGACACAGCCGTCTCGCGCAGGTAACACCACACCTGACACAGACAGCTCTCACAACCTTTAGTAACTAAGACCGGTACCTAGCAAGTCGAGAAGAGCACCAGAGCCCTAGACTAGAGCTAGACATAGATCACGTAGAGTGTTGAATCCCTAGAATAGTTGAGAGATAGAGCACTACACTCTTTGATTAGATTAGTCTAGAGATAGAGTAATAAATCCCAAGAGTACGTCTGTGATAGAGTAATAGAGCCCTAGAATAATTGAGGATAGAGTATTAAGTCCCTAGAGTACGTCAGTGATAGAATATTAAGTCCTAGAGTACGTCAGAGATAGAGTATTAAGTCCCTAGAGTACGTCAGTGATAGAATATTAAGTACTTAGAGTACGTCAAAAAAAGAGTATTATGTCCCTTGAGTACGTCAGAGATAGAGTATTAAGTCCCTAGATACGTCAATGATAGAGTATTAAATACTACAGTACGTCAGAGATAGAGTACTGAATCCCTAAGTTAGTGGATTTTGACAATTAGAACTCGAAGTGCGTAGATAAGTTGCAAATTAGAGAATTTCTGGTGATATGTATTTTTCCTGTGTAGATATTGTTTATTACGATATATGAGGATGTCAGAAGTAGATAAGGATGTCACTGAAGTAGATGAGGATGTCACTGAAGTAGATGAGGATGTAAGAAGTAGATGAGGATGTCACTGAAGTAGATGAGGATGTCACTGAAGTAGATGAGGATGTCACTAAAGTAGATGAGGATGTCACTGAAGTAGATGAAGATGTAAGAAGTAGATGAGGATGTCATTGAAGTAGATGAGGATGTCAGAAGTAGATGAGGATGTCACTGAAGTAGATGAGGATGTCACTAAAGTAGATGAGGATGTCACTGAAGTAGATGAGGATGTAAGAAGTAGATGAGGATGTCACTGAAGTACACGAGGATGTCATTAAAGTAGATGAGGATGTCATTGAAGTAGATGAGGATGTCAGAAGTAGATGAGGATGTCACTGAAGTAGATGAGGATATCACTGAAGTAGAAAAGGATGTCAGAAGTAGATGAGGAAGTCACTGAAGTAGATGAGGATGTCAGATGTATATGAAGATGTCACTGAAGTAGATAATGATGTCAGAAGTAGATGAGGATGTCACTAAAGTAGATGAGGATGTCACTAAAGTAGATGAGGATGCCAGAAGTAGATGAGGATGTCAGAAGTAGACGAGGATGTCAGAAGCAGATAATGATGTTAGAAGTAGAAGAGGATATCAGAAGTAGATAATGATGTCAGGAGTAGATGAAGATGTCAGAAGTAGATGAGGATGTCAGAGGTAGATGAGGATGTCAGAACTAGATAGAGATGTCAGAAGTAGATGAGGGTGTCAGTAGTAGAAATGATGTCAGAAGTAGTATAATGACGTCAGATGTAGATAATGATGTCAGGAGTAGATGAGGATGTCAGAAGTAGATAAAGATGTCAGAAGTAGATGAAGATGTCACTGAAGTATATGAGGATGTCACTGAAGTAGATGAGGATGTCACTGAAGTAGAAAAGGATGTCAGAAGTAGATGAGGAAGTCACTGAAGTAGATGAGGATGTCAGAAGTATATGAAGATGTCACTGAAGTAGACAAGGATATCAGAAGTAGATAATGATGTTAGAAGTAGATGAGGATGTCAAAAGTAGATAATGATGTTAGAAATAGATGAGGGTGTCAGTAGTAGATAATGATGTCAGAAGTAGATGAGGGTGTCAGTAGTAGATAATGATGTCAGAAGTAGATAATGACGTCAGATGTAGATAATGATGTCAGGAGTAGATGAGGATGTCAGAGGTAGATGAGGATGTCAGAAGTAAATGAGGATGTCAGAAGTAGATATCAGAAGTAGATGAGGATGTCAGAAGTAGATGAGGATGTCAGAGGTAGATGAGGATGTCAGAAATAGATGAGGATGTCAGCAGTAGATAACGATATCAGAAGTAGATGATGTCAGAAGTAGATAATGATGTCAGAAGTAGATGAGGATGTCAGATCTCGATAATGATAGCAGAAGTAGATAATGATGTCAGAAATAGATGAGGATGTCAGAAGTAGATAGTGATGTCAGAAGTAGATGAGGATGTCAGTTGTGGATAATGATGTCAGAAGTAGATGAGGATGTCAGAAGTAGATAATGATGTCAGAAGTAGATGAGGATGTCAGTTGTGGATAATGATGTCAGAAGTAGATGAGGATGTCAGAAGTACATAATGATGTCAGAAGTAGATAATGATGTCAGAAGTACATAATGATATCAGAAGTAGATGATGATGTCAGAAGTACATAATGATGTCAGAAGTAGATAATGATGTCAGAAGTACATAATGACGTCAGAAGTAGATAATGATGTCAGAAGTAGATGATGATGTCAGAGGTAGATAACAGAGTAGATTATTGTGTAAAAAGTACCTGCAGATTTCAGAAATGAATAATGTAAATGAAGACAATGAAATAAATTTTTTAATACATCAGAATAAACTAGACGAATTTTGTTTAATAGATCAGAATAAATTAGACGAATTTTGTTTAATAGATCAGAATAAATTAGACGAATTTTGTTTAATAGATCAGAATAAATTAGACGAATTTTGTTTAATAAAAAAAAATTAATAGAAATTTATATATATAATATATATCCCGAGAGCGAAACATCGTTTAGTGAGGTAAAATTACATCACTTAGAGGTGATGTCACCTAATTCTATAACGAATGACGTCAGGGGTAACTGTTCAGGATTTCACTGAAAAAATCGATGAAATATGATGTCAGCGAAGTATATGCTGAAACTGAAGCAAGAGATGTCATTGTAGATGATGTCACTTGTCCTTGATGTAGATGATGGTAGAACAGGATAGATGAAGCAGGTGATGTCAGAGAATAGTTATGTAATGTCAGAGGATAGTTAGGTGATGTCAGAGGATAGTTAGGTGATGTCAGAGGATAGTTAGGTGATGTCAGAGGATAGTTAGGTGGTGTCAGAGGATAGTTAGGTGATGTCAGAGGATAGTTAGGTGATGTCAGAGGATAGTTAGGTGATGTCAGAGGATAGTTAGGTGATGCCAGAGGATAGTTAGGTGATGTCAGGATAGTTAGGTGATGTCAGAGGATAGTTAGGTGATGTCAGAGGAAGTTAGGTGATGTCAGAGGATAGTTAGGTGGTGTCAGAGGATAGTTAGGTGATGTCAGAGGATAGTTAGGTGATGTCAGAGGATAGTTAGGTGATGTCAGAGGATAGTTAGGTGATGCCAGAGGATAGTTAGGTGATGTCAGGATAGTTAGGTGATGTCAGAGGATAGTTACGTGATGTCAGAGGACAGAGTAGTTTAGACTGTGCAGTCCCGTAGTGTGTGTGTGTGTGTGTACACCCTAGAATACACAGGTAGTGTATGTACACCCTGGGATACACAGGTAGTGTGTGCGTGTGTGTGTACACGCTAGAGTACACAAGTAGTGTGTGTGTGTACACCCTGGAGTACACAAGTAGTATGTGTGTGTACACCCTAGAGTACACAAGTAGTGTGAGTGTGTGTGTGTACACCCTAGAGTACACAAGTAGAGAATATTATGACGCACGGGCATCACAGTAGGTAGCATGTGACACAAGACCGATCACTGTGTACGTCACACGGTGTTGTGTGTGGGTGTTGTGTTCAGAGATAGTGTGAGTCTTACCCAGTTATTACCCTCCTCACCCTCCCCCCCTCAAGGTAATACATATCCATGTTGGTAAGTCGAAGTCTGATTAAAAACACACCACTAGTTAGGTGATGTTAGGTAAAGGGAGACATAATCAAAGTACAGGATACTGATGAGCCAAAGGAGTAGGTCAAGGATAGTATTCCTCAGCTGTTGGGAGTCCAAACTGGTTAATGACAAACGTGGGATTATATATTAGTATTATAGAATATATATATATGTATCTATATGTATTTATATATATCCCTATAATTATAAGTATTTATATATATTGGAAAGACAAAGCAGTGTGTGACTAACAGATTCAATAACAAAGAAACATTGATATCTTGGACTTATAACCGACCTTAAAACCACAACACAAACACACAATTTTTACACCACACATCACAACACACAATACTACACACTCACACAATATCAAACACACACACACACACACAAACTCAACAAAGCTAAGAGTGTGGGAGGTAGTTCGAAACCAAATGCTTAAGACGTTTGTTAAACACTCCTATAACACCGGTACTGCATGGAGGATCCAGGAAGGGATTCAAATCACTCCTTCAAGACAATAGAACAAATTCTTTCATAGTATCAGTCATAGGCCAGGTGACGGTAGTGTATATAGGTTTTGGTGATGGTACGGCTTCATACATCGCTTACTAAATATATTGATACTATCATTATAAAGTAGTAATTACCATGAATACAATTAGTTATAGTAGTAGCTGTTGTTTTTGTTGCATACGGTTAACTAGTTAAAGTTGTTTCTGGTGTGAAAATATTGCTTCGTTAATCGTCATCACACACCTGTTACTGCTAAAACGCACAAGGAAACTACGTAGTATCAGACCCCCCCCCCCCCATTGTTGCCCCAGCACAACTTCACCATGTTCAAGGTGATAACTACCAATCCGGTATAACTAAACATATCCAGGTAGATAACTAACATATCCAGGTAATAACTAATTCTTATCCAGGTGATTACTATCATAGTCCAGGTGATAAATATCAGCTGGGTAATTAGTTTATCACAGCAAGGTGATACTATCACAGCCGGATGTAACTATCACATGCCAGTTAATACTACTATTTCACGCAGATTAACTAGTAAGCCATGATTATTAACTATCACAGCCAGATTAATACTATCACAGCGTTACATACTATCACGCCAGTAATTAACTTCCCCACCCCCTGTAATAACTTCCCAGCCAGATATAACTATCCAGCCAGATATATAACTATCACAGCCAGATAAAAACTATCGCAGCAGATAATAACT